CAAACTGATATATGCATGCGTAGAATTAAGTTGCGAACGCATTGACCTAGAGAGCATTAAGACCAATCTAGTCGCACTAAAAATTGATTGTTATCCTTTAATTGAATTCAAATAAAAATTTTCAGCCACAACTACAACAACTGAGCCGACGACTACGTCCACAGCAGGTACGAGACTTGTTCAATGCTCAAATCACACCTTATGCAAGCGAGCATCTCGAATTCAATTTTCAGCTACCACAACAACCACGGAGCCAACGACGTCGACTACTGCGCCTACCAGCACCACTACTGAAGGTCTGCAGACAAACTGATATACGCATGCGTAGAATTAAGTTGCGAACGCATTGACCTAGAGAGCATTAAGACCAATCTAGTCGCACTAAAAATTGATTGTTATCCTTTAATTGAATTCAAATAAAAATTTTCAGCCACAACTACTACAACTGAGGCAACGACTACGACCACAGCAGGTACGAGACTTGTTCAATGCTCAAATCACACCTTATGCAAGCGAGCATCTCGAATTCAATTTTCAGCTACCACAACAACTACGGAGCCGACGACGACGACTACTGCGCCTACCAGCACCACTACTGAAGGTCTGCAGACAAACTGATATATGCATGCGTAGAATTAAGTTGCGAACGCATTGACCTAGAGAGCTTTAAGACAAATCGAGTCGCACTAAAAATTAATTTATATCATTTCATTGCATTCAAAACGAAAATTTTCAGCCACAACTACAACAACTGAGCCGACGACTACGACTACAGTTGGTACGTGACTTGCTCAATGCTCAAATCACACCTTATGCAAGCGAGAATCTCAAATTCAATTTTCAGCAACCACAACAACTACGGAGCCGACGACGACGACTACTGCGCCTACCAGCACCACTACTGAAGGTCTGCAGACAAACTGATATATGCATGCGTAGAATTAAGTTGCGAACGCATTGACCTAGAGAGCATTAAGACCAATCTAGTCGCACTAAAAATTGATTTCTATCCTTTAATTGAATTCAAATAAAAATTTTCAGCCACAACTACAACAACTGAGCCGACGACTACGACCACAGCAGGTACGAGACTTGTTCAATGCTCAAATCACACCTTATGCAAGCGAGCATCTCGAATTCAATTTTCAGCTACCACAACAACCACGGAGCCGACGACGTCGACTACTGCGCCGACCAGCACCACTACTGAAGGTCTGCAGACAAACTGATATATGCATGCGTAGAATTAAGTTGCGAACGCATTGACCTAGAGAGCTTTAAGACAAATCGAGTCGCACTAAAAATTAATTTATATCATTTCATTGCATTCAAAACGAAAATTTTCAGCCACAACTACAACAACTGAGCCGACGACTACGACTACAGTTGGTACGTGACTTGCTCAATGCTCAAATCACACGTTATGCAAGCGAGCATCTCAAATTCAATTTTCAGCAACCACAACAACTACGGAGCCGACGACGACGACTACTGCGCCTACCAGCACCTTTACTGAAGGTCTGCAGACAAACTGATATATGCATGCGTAGAATTAAGTTGCGAACGCATTGACCTAGAGAGCATTAAGACCAATCTAGTCGCACTAAAAATTGATTGTTATCCTTTAATTGAATTCAAATAAAAATTTTCAGCCACAACTACAACAACTGAGCCGACGACTACGACTACAGTTGGTACGTGACTTGCTCAATGCTCAAATCACACCTTATGCAAGCGAGAATCTCAAATTCAATTTTCAGCAACCACAACAACTACGGAGCCGACGACGACGACTACTGCGCCTACCAGCACCACTACTGAAGGTGTGCAGACAAACTGATATATGCATGCGTAGAATTAAGTTGCGAACGCATTGACCTAGAGAGCATTAAGACCAATCTAGTCGCACTAAAAATTGATTGTTATCCTTTAATTGAATTCAAATAAAAATTTTCAGCCACAACTACAACAACTGAGCCGACGACTACGACCACAGCAGGTACGAGACTTGTTCAATGCTCAAATCACACCTTATGCAAGCGAGCATCTCGAATTCAATTTTCAGCTACCACAACAACTACGGAGCCAACGACGTCGACTACTGCGCCTACCAGCACCACTACTGAAGGTCTGCAGACAAACTGATATATGCATGCGTAGAATTAAGTTGAAAACGCATTGACCTAGAGAACATTAAGACCAATCTAGTCGCACTAAAAATTGATTGTTATCCTTTAATTGAATTCAAATAAAAATTTTCAGCCACAACTACAACAACTGAGCCGACGACTACGACCACAGCAGGTACGAGACTTGTTCAATGCTCAAATCACACCTTATGCAAGCGAGCATCTCGAATTCAATTTTCAGCTACCACAACAACCACGGAGCCGACGACGTCGACTACTGCGCCGACCAGCACCACTACTGAAGGTCTGCAGACAAACTGATATATGCATGCGTAGAATTAAGTTGCGAACGCATTGACCTAGAGAGCTTAAAAAAAAAATCGAGTCGCACTAAAAATTTATTGTTATCATTTCATTGTATTAAAAACAAAATTTTCAGCCACAACTACAACAACTGAGCCGACGACTACGACCACAGCAGGTACGAGACTTGTTCAAAGCTCAAATTACACCTTATGCAAGCAAGCATCTCGAATTCAATTTTCAGCCACCACAACAACCACGGAGCCGACGACGTCGACTACTGCGCCTACCAGCACCACTACTGAAGGTCTGCAGACAAACTGATATATGCATGCGTAGAATTAAGTTGCGAACGGATTGACCTAAAGAGCATTTAGACCAATCTAGTAGCACTAAAAATTGATTGTTATCCTTTAATTGAATTCAAATAAAATTTTCAGCCACAACTACTACAACTGAGGCAACGACTACGACCACAGCAGGTACGAGACTTGTTCAATGCTCAAATCACACCTTATGCAAGCGAGCATCTCAAATTCAATTTTCAGCTACCACAACAACCACGGAGCCGACGACGTCGACTACTGCGCCGACCAGCACCACTACTGAAGGTCTGCAGACAAACTGATATATGCATGCGTAGAATTAAGTTGCGAACGCATTGACCTAGAGAGCTTAAAAAAAAAATCGAGTCGCACTAAAAATTTATTGTTATCATTTCATTGTATTAAAAACAAAATTTTCAGCCACAACTACAACAACTGAGCCGACGACTACGACCACAGCAGGTACGAGACTTGTTCAAAGCTCAAATTACACCTTATGCAAGCAAGCATCTCGAATTCAATTTTCAGCCACCACAACAACCACGGAGCCGACGACGTCGACTACTGCGCCGACCAGCACCACTACTGAAGGTCTGCAGACAAACTGATATATGCATGCGTAGAATTAAGTTGCGAACGCATTGACCTAGAGAGCTTTAAGACAAATCGAGTCGCACTAAAAATTAATTTATATCATTTCATTGCATTCAAAACAAAAATTTTCAGCCACAACTACAACAACTGAGCCAACGACTACGACTACAGTTGGTACGTGACTTGCTCAATGCTCAAATCACACCTTATGCAAGCGAGAATCTCAAATTCAATTTTCAGCAACCACAACAACTACGGAGCCGACGACGACGACTACTGCGCCTACCAGCACCACTACTGAAGGTCTGCAGACAAACTGATATATGCATGCGTAGAATTAAGTTGCGAACGCATTGACCTAGAGAGCATTAAGACCAATCTAGTCGCACTAAAAATTGATTTCTATCCTTTAATTGAATTCAAATAAAAATTTTCAGCCACAACTACAACAACTGAGCCGACGACTACGACCACAGCAGGTACGAGACTTGTTCAATGCTCAAATCACACCTTATGCAAGCGAGCATCTCGAATTCAATTTTCAGCTACCACAACAACCACGGAGCCGACGACGTCGACTACTGCGCCGACCAGCACCACTACTGAAGGTCTGCAGACAAACTGATATATGCATGCGTAGAATTAAGTTGCGAACGCATTGACCTAGAGAGCTTAAAAAAAAAATCGAGTCGCACTAAAAATTTATTGTTATCATTTCATTGTATTAAAAACAAAATTTTCAGCCACAACTACAACAACTGAGCCGACGACTACGACCACAGCAGGTACGAGACTTGTTCAAAGCTCAAATTACACCTTATGCAAGCAAGCATCTCGAATTCAATTTTCAGCCACCACAACAACCACGGAGCCGACGACGTCGACTACTGCGCCTACCAGCACCACTACTGAAGGTCTGCAGACAAACTGATATATGCATGCGTAGAATTAAGTTGCGAACGGATTGACCTAAAGAGCATTTAGACCAATCTAGTAGCACTAAAAATTGATTGTTATCCTTTAATTGAATTCAAATAAAATTTTCAGCCACAACTACTACAACTGAGGCAACGACTACGACCACAGCAGGTACGAGACTTGTTCAATGCTCAAATCACACCTTATGCAAGCGAGCATCTCAAATTCAATTTTCAGCTACCACAACAACCACGGAGCCGACGACGTCGACTACTGCGCCGACCAGCACCACTACTGAAGGTCTGCAGACAAACTGATATATGCATGCGTAGAATTAAGTTGCGAACGCATTGACCTAGAGAGCTTAAAAAAAAAATCGAGTCGCACTAAAAATTTATTGTTATCATTTCATTGTATTAAAAACAAAATTTTCAGCCACAACTACAACAACTGAGCCGACGACTACGACCACAGCAGGTACGAGACTTGTTCAAAGCTCAAATTACACCTTATGCAAGCAAGCATCTCGAATTCAATTTTCAGCCACCACAACAACCACGGAGCCGACGACGTCGACTACTGCGCCGACCAGCACCACTACTGAAGGTCTGCAGACAAACTGATATATGCATGCGAAGAATTTAGTTGCGAACGCAATATCTAGCCACATTATTGTCATAACAAATATTGTACATAACCCGCGTTGCCGCTTATCTATTGCTGATTACAGCTACTACAACGACTACCGAGCCAACCTCAACGACTACTGCTGCCTCGACTACGACCACGGAAGGTGGGTCTCAATCGAACTTTTGTCAACGTACACCCAAACGACAGAAACATCAAGAAAACGTGTTAAAATTTTCAAAAAAATTACAATTCACATTTCAGTTACTCTGATATCAGGGTACAAAATTTAAGTTATACGCACCTGAAGGAATGCAACCGGATATTATATTCTGATAAAAGCCACAATTAAAAGATATCTAGTTCCATTTAAATTGTCTACTAGGATGAAATATTTGTGCATGCTGCCGTTCTGCAATATGCAAAAATTTTTAAAAAAGAAGTCGGGAGAAAAAATAAATATTAGAAATATTTTAAGAATCGATGAAGTGATACATTTTTTGGTTTAACAATATGAGATTAACTGAGGTGAGAAATTTCTTCGAAATCGCATCATTTTAGACAATTTATGAGAATCAGATTTGTACGAGTTATTGCAAAAAAAATAATATTGACCTCAATTTTTTAATCCAAAACCGTGGGTATAGGTATACTTCTTTATACTATACAAAAAGGAAAATTTGAAAGGCGCTCAAATGGAATGTAAGTTTAAAGTTGGTCCTAAAATTTTGAAAGAGTAAAATACACAACATGCACCAAAAATTAAAAATTGTTAGGTTTTCTGAAAAATCACAAGATTACCATTTTGCAAATTTACCTAGAGAGCCTTAAGACCAATCGAGTCGCACTAAAAATTTATTGTTATCAATTCATTGCGTTGATTCGTTCAAAACATACAATTTGCAGCAACAACTACAACAACTGAGCCGACGACAACGACCACAGCAGGTACGAGTCTTGTTCGATGCTCAATCCTTATTCAAGCGAGCGAGCATCTCAAATTCTATTTTCAGCCACCACAACAACCACGGAGCCGACAACGTCAACTACTGCGCCTACCAGCACCACTACTGAAGGTCTGCAGACACACATATAAATATGCATGCGTAGAATTCAGTTGCGAACGCAATATTTAGCCACATTATTGTCCGAACATAAATTTTCCATTACCCGCGTTAATCAACGAAAGCTTGATTCAAGATATTATTCAATTTAACTAATTTTCCAAAAAAACTTATGTTTTGCAGACGAAAAATTTTCAAATAATTCCTGCACTTTAATTGACCCATTGAGGCTATAATTTTTAACAATTAATGGCTTTGCAGCTATTATATTGATCAGTGAATGTGGTATTGAAGTTATTATTCACATATTGGCTCAGACAGTGGAGTTCGGCATGTGACGATTTTGCAATTTGATATGGCATATAAATAAAATCGTGGCAGTTTAACGAATAATTTCCAAATAAATCCTGCGCCTATTGTTAGCAAGCCTGACCGAGTTTCCCCTTTAAAATGATTATATGTTCGGCACTGCATATAAATATAATTATGGAATCTTCTATATCAGTTAATGACTTTTTAGCAATTATAATTGATTTTTTTATATCATTATGATTAAAATATTCACTGAAAATTATCAGCTCAGAAAGTAGAGTTTGGCAGTAGAATGATTTTAAATAAATTATTATTATTATTGCAACTCTTTTATTGTCTTATGGTGTGATATTACAAATAGTGCACTCAGACATAATTCACCCATCCTGCGCCTATTATTAGCAAGCCTGAACGAGTTTCCTCTTTTTAATGCTTATACATATATTTAGCTACAACAACGACCACCGTGCCTACCACAACTACATCTGCTGCTACGATAACAACCACTGAAGGTCTGGGATAATCTTTGTGTGCCGCACAACAAACTATGCACAAAATAATCGAGTGAACAATTCTTTACGTTTAAACACACCTTGCAGCCACGACATCAACCACTGAGCCGACGACTACGACCACTGCGGCGGTTACCAGCACAACAACTGAAGGTCTGGACATGATTGAGTTCAATTCATATGTTTTTCTCCGACAAGTCGGAACAGTTGATTTAACAGAAATTGGTTGGGAAAGAAAAGACACAATTTAATTAAACTTATTTCCTCAGAAATTTGAGTACGGCAGTTGAAGATTTTCCCACTTAATCCTGCATATTAATAAACCCATGGACGCAGTAATTTACATCAGATTATGGACCTCCGCTGTAAAATTGATTAGCGAAAGCTTGATTCAAGATATTATTCAATTTAACTTATTTTCCAAAAAACTTAGGTTTTGCAGACGACAAATTTTCAAAAAATTCCTGCACTTTAATTGTCCCATGGAAGTTGTAATTTTTATCAATTCAATGCTTTCCAGTTAATATATTGATCGGTGAAAGTGGTTTTGATAATATTATTCACTTAAACATATTTGCTCAGAGTCCACTTACCCCACCAAATAAAGAGCCACTATTTTTCAAATTGTTTCCGCTGCATTGACTACGATCACAGAAGGTGTGAAATATGCTTAAAAAACCAGCTCAAATCGATACACTTGGAGCATTACACACTTTCCCGTATCTCAAATTCAATTTTCAGCCACGACAACAACTACAACATCAACCTCTACAACAACTACCTCTCCTACTACCACCTCCACAACAACAACCAGCACCACAACTGTACCAGTGATCCAGCCAAAGACTTGCGCTTCGCAGAATTTGATAGTATTTTTTTTTACCTGTTACTGAATTCAACACTTACTTATGCTTGTTAAGAGCGTGTCGAATTGCTGCAGGAGGCCACCGGCACCTTTGGTCACTTTCTACGCTTATGAAAGAGTTTGCCAAGTGACAAAAGTTGCTCTTAACGCGTTTAACATCTTCTCCCTGTACAAACAGCAACGCTACACTAACATTCCACCCAACTCAATCAACTACCAAAGTCCTGCAGTGAGGGCTGCACTAGGCAGAGATGCTGTTCGTTTTACATATCTTGAATGTTCTGATCTCAATAATGTGATTTTTTTTCAGTGCTTCGTCCACTGTTACTTGCTGCAAAAAGCAATTGTTAGTTATTTTTATTTTATATCTAAAAAAATATCTCAATTACCCATACAGCTCAATTGCTTCGACTGATTAAACGATTTAAATGCATGATTTTTTCATTATTAGTGATTGTTTTTTTTTATTAATTTTGTGTATCATATATAGATTGATATTATTAAGGATTGATTTTTAACTTCCTATTGTACATCAGATTTTGCAAGACAACATAATTGACCAGGCTAAACTCACCACGTTTCTAACTGGAGCACAAAAAGATGCAACGTGGAAGGCAATCGTTGCAGCGGCCGTGAGTGACTGCGTTTCCAAAATCAACAGTATGGATTTATTTAGCTGTTTGCAACTTTTTAATTTTGAAACACTTCTCTTGAAGATATGTACATCCCCAACTTTGTGTCGAGAGGTGCGAGTTGCTCTGGCAGAGCCTATTTAGTGATGCAGTGCATTCAGCTAAAAACCATTAATGTATAAATCAAATCAATTTTATATTTCAAAAATATTAACTAGCTTAAAAATTTTCAGAATTGCCCGGATAAAAGTAGGTTTCTTTGGTAAAATTATAAATTTAAAATAAATATATATTTGCTCAGTTGCGACTGCCGCGTGTAGTAAAACTTACGAAACCGTCAGCCAATGCTCTGGAAATATTTTCATCTCATCTCTAATCAGAAGAAGGAGGAGTCTTCAACTGAATTCATCGAGTCCAGTTGCTGCTGATTTTGGCCTAAGAAAATTCTCGCCCAAATTTACAAATAAGGCGAATTAGTAACTTCGAATTAAGTTTAATATTATTGTCCTTTAAATTCTGTTTTTGAGGAAACAGTTCTTGATTCTTTAATTGGTGATAGCACGGTATGAATTAGAGAAGCAATAAAAATATGTAATACCCTTTTGGATCAAACAGACTGTTATAGTAATTAAAATGCATGTATGCTGATGATAAAAGAAGCAAAATAACGACAAAATTTTCAATAATTATTAGGCAAGAACAATGAAAAGTCTCAATAAATAATTTAATTTGGCAAACCACAATTCATATTTTAATAATATACCGCATTTAAAATGATCTAAATAGTTTAAGAACGAACTCAACTCCAGGCACAAAGAAAAACCTCCTTCATCGTCTGCGATTCATATTTGCTTCTCAGTCAAGAGGTGTGAGTCGAGGTATATACACGTTGGAAAAGGCTAGCTGGTATGAGCTTTCAATAAGTGAAATCGTGATCCTAGTCAAGTTCAGGGTGCTGCCGTTTTTCTTAATTTTTGAGTTTTAAGTGTAAAAGTTCATTTTTTTAGACAGAAATCCGGCCAGAATTTAAATTAAGGCATGTTTATACGAGATTTGTTTGTCATGGTTTTCACCACCTGATTTGTAAAAACAGAAAACATCACTTGAAAATCGATGATAAATGTGTATGTAAATTATGTGACAATCCGTGTGACAGATACCACCTGAAGAACTGCCCTGCACGAGTGAAATTCCTTGTGGACTATGCGAAAATTAAGAAGTTAAAACCACTATTTCTTTATACTATTTCTTTTTCTTTAAAAATTTTTAAAAGTGTGCTTTGACATGTATGTATGATGAATTGAATTCTCATTGAGTAATAAATAATTTTTCAATCACCGTCCTCGTGGTTGAGTGTCCATGTATAAATACTATAGTTCGAACGCTTATGCAGACGTTGCTTCTTATTAACTCTGGCAGACGCTACCAAACGCTGAAGGCAGGTGGCTAGCGGCCACCTGGACCAGCGTCGAGGGGCACATTGAACGCTGGGGTACTCTGTCAGCTATTTTTGAACGCTATGGAACGCTGGCAAATACTGATGCGTTCAAATAGCGTTTGGCAGATCAGAGTGAAAATAATTGCGTTAGAGTGCGTTCGTGGTTACAAGCGCGCGACGCGCCTGCGGCACCAAAACTTGGATTCCGACTAGAGGGTGAATCCGTTGAAAAATCGGCCAAAAAATTCAACCAGAATTTGGCCGAGTTTACGAAATTCTAGAGTAGCAAAATCGGCCAAACTTTGCGGGTGGATACGATTCTACATTTCTGAAGAGAAGCATTTTGCGGAACGACGCCTCGATTTCTCCTTCTAACGGTGCCCTGATTTGCCTGATTCGACGAACCGTAAAAAAAAACCGTTTTATGCCCAATGTACCTTGGGGTGCACGCACCCAGGCGACCAAATTTCCAAAATTGAAGCTAATTATGCATTAGCACCCTCTCATGGCAAATTTCAATCAAAACCCGCGACTTCCGAATGAGTGCATGAAAATCCCGAAAGCACTTGTATTTATGGGAAAAGAGGTATTTATCCAACTAATAATTAAAGAGAAAAATAACGCAAAAAAAGATCACTTACTCTCAGATAATTCACGTGGAGGAGAATGAAGAAAATTATGCTTTGGGCGAAGAGGCTTCTGGAAATGGAGTTTCAACTATTTTGTTGCTGTCTTTGGCACTTTTTGCTTCTGTAACAGTCAAATGGATTTTAATCTATACAGCACCCTCAAGGGGTTTTCCAATTACAAATCCTTTGTAAATTATATAAATTATCTGTGAATTTGCCCGATGACAACTATTACAACGTTGACCAAAACCATATTTCACTTATTTCAGTAAAATTTGATATGAAAGTGTCGAGAAAAAAGCAGCCTGTCATATTTACAATAATTATATTGTTGTGAAATCCAGGGGTGCATTGCTGGTTAATTAATAGGTTTCAATTCTGCAGCCAAATTATTTCTCACTTACACGACATTAAAAATTCCCACTTTCATCAATTTGCACATGCAAAAATAAAATCAGGAACCTAATTATTTCTTGTCCCAGACTTTCATAGAGCAGTGCAGACATTTGCTCAAGCTCTGTACGAGCCATGGAGCATTCTCACTCTTGCTATATACATATGTATTTATTCCAACACACACATTGCCGTGCAAGAGAGAAAGGTGCGCCCCGTTTTTCAGCGGCGAGGCTGCGATTGCAACCAGCATGGGTTCCCTTGTCAAACAGGAGGCCATTGAGGCCACGACCGAGTCCACTTCGAGACCATGGTCTCTATGGACTCGAGCGTGGCCTCAGTGGCCTCGAGTTGAGGTCACTTTGAGCACTGACTCCGTGGCCTCGATGGACTCGGTATGGTCTCCATGGACTCGGAGTGACCTCGGCGGTCTCTGTGGACTCGGAGTGATCTCGGTGGTCTCCGTGGACTCGGGAGTGATCTCGGTGGTCTCCGTGGACTCGGGAGTGATCTCGGTGGTCTCCGTGGACTCGGAGTGATCTCAGTGGTCTCCGTGGACTCGGGAGTGATCTCGGTGGTCTCCGTGGACTCGGAGTGACCTCGGCGGTCTCCATGCACTCGGAGTGGTCTCAGTGGCCTCCGAGTGACCTCAAGTTGTGATTATGATTTTTTCGCATTATTTTTAATATTATACAAATTTTAATTTACATCAAATTATATAAAAAAAATTATTTTGCGAAAATTAGAAACTTTTTAATATGCAAAATTGAATTAATTTATTTTTTTGTATTAAAAACGCAACGGGACAAATTTTGTCCCGCCGGCTGGGATAGACTAAAATTTCCTCCCGCTCGAAAGTGAAATTTTTTATCCCAAGCTAAAATTTGTCCCGCCACTATCCTCCCTGGACAAAAGTCCTCCCGGGGAGGAAATCTCTAGTGAATGCCCCCCAATATTAATTTATTTATCTTCTCTTGATCAGAGTCTTATTCATAAAAAAATTCAAACCACTTTAAACAAAATCTTCACCAAAAAGTTATTGAAAAATTAAAGTAAGTAGCTTAAAATCTGCTGCTTTGGACGCAAAAAATCATAAATATTAAATTTCGGTACAGAAATTAGCGTTCAGCAAATTTTTAAAGGCAATGTTTTTATGAAAATGATATGAAAAATTATTCTGTTGAATTTTATTACAGATTACAATTTTGATTTGAAAAAATCAACTAAAATAAAAACTGAATATTTTGGCAAAAATAAAGCTGAAGAGCCTTATTACATTATTAAATTGATTAAATATCTATTTTTTTAATAACTTTCTGGTTAAGATTTTGATTAAACTGGTTTCAATTTTTTTTATAATTATGACTGATCAACAGAAGATAAATTAATAATTAATATACCCAATTTCCTATTATGATCTATTTCAACTGGCGGCTGTTTTTTGGAATTAATTATGGTTCACGTAGCAGCAAGTAAAAAAACAACGCGGTTTATAGAACAACTCATAAATACAAAAAAATAAATTAATTCAATTTTGCATATTAAAAAGTTTCTAATTTTCGCAAAATAATTTTTTTTTATAATTTGATGTAAATTAAAATTTTTATAATATTAAAAATAATGCGAAAAAATCAAAATCACAACTTGAGGTCACTCGGAGACCACTGAGACCACTCCGAGTGCATGGAGACCGCCGAGGTCACTTCGAGTCCATTGAGACCATTCCGAGGCCACCGAGGTCACTCCGAGTCCACGGAGACCACCGAGATCACTCCCGAGTCCACGGAGACCACTGAGATCACTCCGAGTCCACGGAGACCACCGAGATCACTCCCGAGTCCACGGAGACCACCGAGATCACTCCCGAGTCCACGGAGACCACTGAGATCACTCCGAGTCCACGGAGACCACCGAGATCACTCCCGAGTCCACGGAGACCACGGAGATCACTCCGAGTCCACGGAGACCACCGAGATCACTCCCGAGTCCACGGAGACCACCGAGATCACTACGAGTCCACAGAGACCGCCGAGGTCACTCCGAGTCCATGGAGACCATACCGAGTCCATCGAGGCCACGGAGTCAGTGCTCAAAGTGACCTCAACTCGAGGCCACTGAGGCCACGCTCGAGTCCATAGAGACCATGGTCTCGAAGTGGACTCGGTCGTGGCCTCAATGGCCTCCTGTTTGACAAGGGTTGTCAGTCGAGCAAAACCATCCACGATCCTCTCGTGCCAAACTGACAGCATGACACACTGGCTGACCAGGCCAGCCGGCAACCTGAGATGATAATTATCATGTCGCCTATTTCATGATCCGAAAGACTCCAAAATTTTGATTCAAAGATTATAAATTTTTTCTTAATATTCAGTAGTATTTTGGAAAAGAAAATTATTTCCATAAAAATAATTGTAGTGTAAAATGGGTAAAAGTATTTCATCGCTTAATAATAGATTGCCAAAATCAATCGCAATTGCAAAATTACAGATCACGTCCATCCTTGAAAAACGGTGGAATAAAATAGGTGGTAAAAGTAACTGCAAAAAATAGGCGTTTACTGTTTGATTTTTAAACACACTGCAAATCCACCTGAAGAATAATTTATTGCTCTGCCTTGACCAACAACAAAACCATTTAAAAATAACAAAGTTTATTTCTCTATGTGACTTAGAGAAATATGTGGTTGACAGAGGCTAGGGGTGTGAGAGAATTCATTCATTGAGTCTTCTTGGGGCGCTGCAAAGCCCTAATTGTTGTGACAGTGTCTTCGATTTTCTGTTTGAGGTATTGGAAATCGTTCATCATGTAAAGAAATTCCTCCTCCTCACAGTAACTCAAAATGCTTGTGACCTTACCAACAAGCTCTGGGTCATCAACAGGATGGATCATCCGCTGCATCAATGGTAAGAGGAGTTTCACCAAAAACTGCTGCTGTTCAATTTGCAGCATTTCCATAGTCGCCGCAAGATGATCCTCCTGTAAGATTGAAGACGACTTGCAAACGTCCCAATTTCATGCATGTCCATTGGCTTGTATGTTCTGTAAGTGTCATAACTCCTCTCCTCTAACGTTTGTTTTTGCTGAACTTGCTGGCGTGAAGATGGAGGGATGGTGACAGCCATGGGCCTTGCAACCTCTGTAACTGGCACCACAATACAAAATGAAAAAATATTAACAAGATTTAATTTTATAAAACCTTCAAGCAAGGGAAATCATAGTGGTGTGACGTCACAGTTTCATTCATCTCCATTGGAGGCTTATTCCTTCGGCAAGCGCCTGAACTCCTCTCCTCTAATGTTTGTTCTTGATGAACTTGCTGGCGTGAAGATGGAGGGATGGGTCCCTTCTGGAGAATCAATTTGATAAAATTCGATCCAAAGTTTGAAAAAATGAGAAAAAATAAGATCCAATATATGGTTAAAAATGCGCGATTCATGATGTTTCCGATTAACTTATTTTGAAATTTTTTTTGGTCTCCAAAAGTTGTGGAAGTAATGGTTTGTGATGATGTCAGTCAACCAGGAGTCAGCAGCTCAAGAGCGATCGCATCAGCTGATGAGATATTATGTTTGCAGTGGTTTAATTTTAGCGTATACATGAAGAAGTATTTAATGAACTTACATAAATTATGCTTGAATAATCACGACATGAGGTATGCCGCCGCAAGTTTCAAATAACGTATCAAACTTTTTAATTTTTATCAAATTTTATCAAATTTGTTCGAATTTTATCTAATTTCAAAAATTTTTGTCGAATAAAATCAAAATTTTCAAATTGTATCAAATTCCCAACAACCAAACGTCACCTATTCTCCTTTATCCCCGGCCCAGTGGGACCGCCCAGCTCACCGGTGTTATCGGCCCCGATAGGGGAGAATCCGAGTAATCGGCCCTTGCAATTTACCCAATTTACTCTTAGTACACCTGCGTCTGCTACCGCTGGTGCCTTTCCCAATTCAAATCAAAAAATTAAAATTATATTATTTAACTATTTCTGGTTATATTCTAGTTATGATAAATTTTTTTATGAAAACTACATTTTTGTATAAATAATGGCGCGTGGCAGAAGAATTATGAGATTAAAGAAAATCAAAGTCAAGACCAAAATAAGGTTGAGAAAACTATCAATTCTTTCAAATTTATCTAATTTTTCAAATTTTTTAAACGATATCAAACTTTTTCTAATTTTATCCAATTTGTTTTTCAAACTTTATTAAATTCACATTTCATCACATTTTTATTGCACTCTTTCAAATTTTTTCAAAGTTTCATTCATATTGGAATCGGTGCAGGGTGCAGAAAAAATGATCACTTACCCTCTGGATGGTGTCGACGAGGCTGAGGGACTGGCTGGGATTGAGAGGTCACCTCCTCAGAGGCCACAGGTCTGCACAACGAGACAGAGTCTGAACCTGACTCTCCAAGCAAACGAAGATGATCATCAAAACCATGCTTGGCTACAGGAGCGCTTGAGGGCACCTCGTCTGGAATAATTTTCATGGCGGTGGAAGATAAGGGGTTCCATGATGGTTCAAATTCAAGGAAATCAAAGGGTTCGTCGAACGACCGCAAATACCCTCCAAAACGGTGTGCACCTAAAGGAAGAATTTATTTATTCATGCGAATTCAATAAAAATGTGTTTTACCTCAAATGGTAGAGGTCGTGGGTCCGGAGGCATGATCTTGGCGACAGTTTCCAGAAATGTCTTCTTCTTCGGAGTTTCCTCTAGCTTCCATGTAACAATCGTACTCCGACTGGGCCATACCAAGCTCTGCTCTTTTCTCGCGGTCAGCTTTGAAAGCTGACGAGTAGATCTGTCTGTTAAGCACTTCAGCGCCTGTTTTGCATAAGAACATAATAAATTATATTATGTATCAGTTGTATATTCATGGCTGTATAAAAATTTCTGATATACCCCTCGCTGTGGCAGTCTGATTTTTATTTGGGGTAGCACTTGGGAGGCTGTGGTGCGTTACTGCTGGCTGAAATGGCTCCAGGAACCATTCCCTCTCCAAGCGTAGACTTCCACCTTGACCCTGAAGCTGGTGTGTTGGTCCTTCAAAACATGTAATTTTAAAAATTGAAGAAAATACATTCTAACAGCAATCAACCATTAAAATTGAAATTACTTTAATTAAAGCAAATCTGCAATAAACTTATAGATAATTAAAATGAAAATAAGCAGAAAATAATATAATACAAAATAGACGAGAGGGTCAGGTTGCAGAAAAAAGAAACACTTACCATCGCATTGACGACGACGGGGCTTTGGTACTGGCTTGTCTTTTTGCTCGCGTTGATGTGATGTCGGTACTGGGGTACTGGAATCGGAGCGCGTAATAGCAGCTGAAATGTAAGCAGTCTCTGGTCTGGAAGGAGCTTCAAGTTGGAATGCATCCTGGCCACAAGAATGCAACCATTCTCCAAAGGAGGGTGCACCTAAACGTATGAGTTGTATATTCATGGCTGTATACAAATTACGATTTTTTCGTCACGTGTAGCACATGATTCGAAAGAGAACATTATTAAGATGGTCATTTTGGTGCCCAAAGATCTGTTGTAGCTTTTATAGAAGCAGAGTTATCATAGAATTACGTTTCCACCACTTTTTATCCAAAAACTGCAATAATTTTACTTCTGTTGGAGCCAAAAGCAAAAACTCGGATGATTCCGAAAGCTGCCACGCTAAAATTTTCGATCTTTTTCCAGGAAACAGAGGAGCGATTTAAACAGATTATGTTGTTCTCCGATTAGAACGCGCGTTGCGCCTCCTGAAAGATTATCAATACTATATATGCACTTTGTAAAACGAAGCTGATTTGCATTATTATTAAATTATAATCACTGTGGTTTATGATAGAAGGGACACTCTTATAATGCTTTTTTTCCTCCGCCTAATTTTGAGTTTTTGACTTCAGAAATTTTGAGTTGGTTATTTGAGTGAAATTCAACGCATTTCGAAACATTTATTAGCTATTGAATCGGCTAAAAAATTGCTTAAGGACTTGCATTTTGAGATTGCTTAAGCTACAGGTGCAAATATAAATTGTAAAATCATATGAAGGTAACTAGAAATTTTGTTGGCGACTAATCATTTTTTGAGATACAATCCGAGGTCCAGACAAACGGAACTTTAATTGAAAAGAGCAGTTTTTGAATTGATAGGAACTTTGACGAAGCCGCTAACCTAACAGTCTCTGCAGCCTCCGTGGGTTCCAAAGGAGGATCAGTTAGCTGAATTTGCTACTTAATTTTACTTGTTAGGCTGTACGAAAAATGATTTTGCAATTTGTCAAGCGCTAAATAAGTGAAAATTTTGAATAAAAGGCAAAGAGATGGAAAAAATTTAAATAGGAAAAGAAGAAAAAAAACCAACACTTACTTTGAGCGGCTGGTGAAGATGGATGAGGCAGATCAAATATAGGAGCTTTTGATGCATCAGGCTGTCGTCGGGGCGCGACTTTGGGAGCCATAGACAAGCAACTTGGTCCTGGTTTTTTTAAACAAAAATTTAGTTATTAAAATATATACACAACAAAAATTAATGAATGAAAAAATTGTTTGGACCTATGGTATTTATTTAAATTGATGAATAATAAAAAAAAAGGAAAAAAAGTGTCCAATACTTTTTTGCAATTTTTTAATTTCTTTTAAGGAAATTTAGGAAATTTTCATCAAAAATACAGTTTCACCAAAACGTAAAATAGAAAAGAAATATGATGTTGTTCATAACCACGGCGCTATAAAAGGGTTAATATTAGCAATCGCATGACACTTATCGTAAATTCAATTTTTTGTAGTTTGTTCTCTTAATTACCAGGGCTGAACTTTTGCTGGTGGCCAAAAGCACAGTTCTAGAATATTCATTTGGCCCGGTTTTGTTTTATACATAAAAAGACCAATGCTAATGGCAGTGGATACTGATTATATGTGATTACATTCCATAATAAGCTGCAATAATAATAATAATAACTTTTCAATTTTTATCGCGGCTTTTCAACGGTGTATGAATATTTAAAAAAAATCTATATATATGCCTTATGGCAAAGATTTTTAATGTACATTTTGTTTCCGAAATTCAATGGTACTTTATTGTTCTAAATTTTTCTGACCTTATCATGGAATATTCTAAGTATTCTAAGTATATTCTATTTAGCTACATTAAACATCTCACCAAAAATAAAATTTTCTGAAATGCACACAGATGAATTTTTAAAATTTAAATTACATTTTTTCCAAGAAATTCATCAATTTAAGACTGCGTATAAAGATATAATATATAACTCTCTAATCTTAATATATCAATTTTGTTTTGTTACAGAAAGCATCATCAAATCATATTCGAAAGTAAGAAGACCAAATTGCCTCCCTATTTTAAAAGTATGTATTTAAAAAATTAAGATGTTTCGTTATTTCGAGTTTAATTTGAAATAATCAATTAAACAAAAGATATTTTTTAAATTTGTTTTTGTAATATTACTTCAATTTTCAATATAATTTGTATTACTGTTCAAAATATTTACCAGAAGACTATATTTAGCTTAGTTGAAATTATGAAACGATTAATTGGATTTCAAATCATAAATAGGTACAAAAACAAAATGTCAACTGTTAAGGTCACAAAATTTTAAATGTTTAAACCTGTATATTTTTATTTGTGGTTAATTGTGTAATGCTTGTTTTTAATTTGTTGAAGAATAAAAATTTAGGACTCCATTCAACTGAAAATAAACTGATCTGTTTTTTAATAATTTTGCAACCCACAAAAATTTATAATGACGTAAAAGTCCTTAAAATGTGCGCGGAATATGCCTCATATTAGTCCTTATTTAATAGTCCTTTTAAGAAGAATAATGACTTATAAGTCCTTATATTACTGATAGTCATTTTTGACGACATTTAAGGACTAAGGAAAAAGGACTTAAAAGTCCTTATAAAATATGAATTTTTTCACCTGGGTCCCCTGGGTAGGCCATGGCGTCCGGGCTGCAGACAAACTTGTACACAAAGCGCTCTCCGGCCACCTTCTGCATGATCCCTTTCTTGTAGTAATACCGGAGTGAAGTTTGTCGTAGTTCATGGCATGCAGATTTTTCTGCACACCCCACCGACTAGCAACCTGGGAAATGAAAAATTTATATAAATGATTGGCGTCTTTTTTTTAGTAATTCGCATTTCATGGCAAGAGGGAAATAAATTTCTTAGCATATGAGTGAATGTGTTCATAGGGGGTGTGCTGATGGCATTGAAAAACTGGGGAGCGCGCTGATTAGATTTTGTACCTCTTCTGCATCTATCAGCTTGAACTCGAGCCCCCTGCCTGTCCATACAATGTAACTACGGTTGCCAGGATCTTCTAATAACGTCACTAAGAACTGCCACAACTGAAGAGATCCCTTCCTCGGCTGCACTGATTGTGGAACTGACGTGGATATTCGAGGAACGTCCCAATTCTGCTGCACGTCTAGTTCTAGAAATTAAGTTAAGAACAGTATTTTGTTAATTTACTTTTAATTTTTTTCATGCAATTTCAACGTGTATGAATATTTAAAAAAAAATATATATGCCTTATGGCAAAGATTTTTAACGTACATTTTGTTTCCGAAATTCAATGGTATTTTATTGTTCTAAATTTTTCTGACCTTATCATGGAATATTCTAAGTAAGTACTTTTTCTAACTCAACACTTGTTTAAAAATTGTAAAAACCTGTTTTTTCAAAAGCTTTTCTTCACATTAGGTGTTTCTGATCTTGGCAAGGCGCGCAACTTCTACTTAAGGACTTCTTATTGATATGGTCAAATCAAGTCTTTACACCAATGGGGTAGGTAAATTTTCCAATAATTGATAAAATGTTCCCTAGTTCAAAGAACTTGATTTGACTATGTCAATAAGGAGGCTTAAAATTTATAATCAGAAACAGGAAAGATCCAATTTTAAAGATGGGGGGGGGGGGAAATAAATCACTTATTTCAAATAATAAATTTTTTGTATGTGAATGCAAAACATTTGTGAAATTATCAGGAAAAAAAATTAAAAAAAAAAAACAAGCGGCTCAGGTTTACATCGGCTGGCGCGGCGCGATTGGCTCGAAATTTAAATAAAGAATCAGCGGCTGGCTTAGACCTCTATCTCCGCGGATTTTGTTTGAGACGGAGGTGGAGACCATGAACTTCTGACATACCATTTCGCATCCGACAGCAAAGTTTTAGAGGGCAATGAGACAAAATTCAACCAAATCCGGATTTTTATTCTACGTCAAGGGCAAGCCGAGATACAGCCTTTTTAAATTTTCCAAATTCCAAATTTGAACGTCCCATAAAACCCGTAAATTTTGTAATAATGTGGTGAAACTATATATTTTTTTAAACCCCTTGACACGGTCTTTATGGGTCTGGAATATGGCCACGATCATTTGACCCCTGCCAAAACACTGTACAGTTGAAATATTTTCGCCGATCACTTTTTTCACGTGGGTGCAAACAATGTATGAAGTTATTAGAAAAAAAAGGAATAATTAATTAAAAAAACCGAGCGGCTCATGACTACATCGGCTGGCGCGACGCATTTGGCTCGAAATTAATGAAAAAAAAATTAAAAGAGCAAAAAACGTGGTTTTCCGAGCATTTTTGATGGGTAAATATGTTTGAACCACCGTAAGATTTTTCGTGGACAAGATAGCCCCAAATTCCTAATGACAAATAATAATTGCCTTGACACGAAACATAATGTATCACACGTGGTGGCAAGGTCACAAAAGGTCATTGACCCCGGTGACCTTTGACCTTGCCAAGATTTTTCGTCACGTGTAGCACATGATTCGAAAGAGAACATTATTAAGATGGTCATTTTGGTGCCCAAAGATCTGTTGTAGCTTTTATAGAAGCAGAGTTATAATAGAATTACGTTTCCACCACTTTTTATCCAAAAACTGCAATAATTTTACTTCTGTTGGAGCCAAAAGCAAAAACTCGGATGATTCCAAAAGCTGCCACGCTAAAATTTTCGATCTTTTTCCAGGAAACAGAGGAGCGATTTAAACAGATTATGTTGTTCTCCGATTAGAACGCGCGTTGCGCCTCCTGAAAGATTATCAATACTATATATGCACTTTGTAAAACGAAGCTGATTTGCATTATTATTAAATTATAATCACTGTGGTTTATGATAGAAGGGACACTCTTATAATGCTTTTTTTCCTCCGCCTAATTTTGAGTTTTTGACTTCAGAAATTTTGAGTTGGTTATTTGAGTGAAATTCAACGCATTTCGAAACATTTATTAGCTATTGAATCGGCTAAAAAATTGCTTAAGGACTTGCATTTTGAGATTGCTTAAGCTACAGGTGCAAATATAAATTGTAAAATCATATGAAGGTAACTAGAAATTTTGTTGGCGACTAATCATTTTTTGAGATACAATCCGAGGTCCAGACAAACGGAACTTTAATTGAAAAGAGCAGTTTTTGAATTGATAGGAACTTTGACGAAGCCGCTAACCTAACAGTCTCTGCAGCCTCCGTGGGTTCCAAAGGAGGATCAGTTAGCTGAATTTGCTACTTAATTTTACTTGTTAGGCTGTACGAAAAATGATTTTGCAATTTGTCAAGCGCTAAATAAGTGAAAATTTTGAATAAAAGGCAAAGAGATGGAAAAAATTTAAATAGGAAAAGAAGAAAAAAAACCAACACTTACTTTGAGCGGCTGGTGAAGATGGATGAGGCAGATCAAATATAGGAACTTTTGATGCATCAGGCTGTCGTCGGGGCGCGACTTTGGGAGCCATAGACAAGCAACTTGGTCCTGGTTTTTTTTAACAAAAATTTAGTTATTAAAATATATACACAACAAAAATTAATGAATGAAAAAATGGTTTGGACCTATCATATTTATTTAAATTGATGAATAATAAAAAAAAAGGAAAAAAAGTGTCCAATACTTTTTTGCAATTTTTTAATTTCTTTTAAGGAAATTTAGGAAATTTTCATCAAAAACCAGTTTCACCAAAACGTAAAATAGAAAAGAAATATGATGTTGTTCATAACCACGGCGCTATAAAAGGGTTAATATTAGCAATCGCATGACACTTATCGTAAATTCAATTTTTTGTAGTTTGTTCTCTTAATTACCAGGGCTGAACTTTTGCTGGTGGCAAAAAGCACAGTTCTAGAATATTCATTTGGCCCGGTTTTGTTTTATACATAAAAAGACCAATGCTAATGGCAGTGGATACTGATTATATGTGATTACATTCCATAATAAGCTGCAATAATAATAATAATAACTTTTCAATTTTTATCGCGGCTTTTCAACGTGTATGAATATTTAAAAAAAAATCTATATATATGCCTTATGGCAAAGATTTTTAATGTACAGTTTGTTTCCGAAATTCAATGGTACTTTATTGTTCTAAATTTTTCTGACCTATCATGAAATATTTTAAGTAAGTACTTTTTCTAACTCAACACTTGTTTAAAAATTGTAAAAACCTGTTTTTTCAAAAGCTTTTCTTCACATTACGTGTTTCTGATCTTGGCAAGGCGCGCAACTTCTACTTAAGGACTCCTTATTGATATGGTCAAATCAAGTCTTTACACCAATGGGGTAGGTAAATTTTCCAATAATTGATAAAATGTTCCCTAGTTCAAAGAACTTGATTTGACTATGTCAATAAGGAGGCTTAAAATTTATAATCAGAAACAGGAAAGATCCAATTTAAAAGATGGGGGAAAAATAAATCACTTATTTCAAATAATAAATTTTTTGTATGTGAATGCAAAAAATTAGTGAAATTATCAGGAAAAGAAATTAAAAAAAAACCAAGCGTCTCAGGTTTACATCGGCTGGCGCGGCGCGATTGGCTCGAAATTTAAATAAAGAATCAGCGGCTGGCTTAGACCTCTATCTCCGCGGATTTTTTTTGAGACGGAGGTGGAGACCATGAACTTCTGACATACCATTTCGCATCCGACAGCAAAGTTTTAGAGGGCAATGAGACAAAATTCAACCAAATCCGGATTTTTATTCTACGTCAAGGGCAAGCCGAGATACAGCCTTTTTAAATTTTCCAAATTCCAAATTTGAACGTCCCATAAAACCCGTAAATTTTGAAATAATGTGGTGAAACTATATATTTTTTTAAACCCCTTGACACGGTCTTTATGGGTCTAGAATATGGCCACGATCATTTGACCCCTGCCAAAACACTGTACAGTTGAAATATTTTCGCCGATCACTTTTTTCACGTGGGTGCAAATCATGTTAGAGGTGAGAATTTTCGCTGAAATATCCTTAAAAACGGCTTTTAATCTTTCGTGCCATGCCATGAGGGTTATTTTTTGTTGATTTTTTAACTTTGAATTTTTATTTATGTTTCTTTTCACAATTATGCAGGCGGCCGATCTCTCCGAGAAGTGCGCACAGATGAGCCACGTCGGCTTTCGTTTTCTTCAAATTTTATCAAAGAAAACTATATTTGAGAAATATTGGATTTTGATTTGAAGCTAATATTGCGCCATTGGATTTACCTATGTTTTAATATTGCGGCAATAATAATACAATGAAAATTTCTATCAGGGGGCAAATTCTATGCAATTGTCATTTAGGTTGCTTTAATTTAAAATTAAATTCCGCCAATTGGGCTCGCACTGTTACGCTCGCTGGGCCAATTTTCTTATAGATATAAAAATTCTGCAACCAAAGTCCAGCAACAACAATATCACCAAATATTATCAATGAATGAAAAACTTAAAAAGTATGTACCAAGGAACACTTCTCCTTCCTAGCTCTGTTATGCAGGCGAGAAACTCATTACACCTGTGTATTCTCCAGTAATGAATAATTTCACAGAGGCAAAACATTTAATTTGTATGTGTTATTTTTGAAACACCCTTTATTTTTTATCTAACTAATTGGAAACACGCTTTTTTGTAGTTAAACCTCTTACAGCAGAAATATGAGAACAGTCTCATCAACTTTTTCCTTCAGAAACTCATAATCCTGGCACATTTTGATCAAACTTGGCATATCATAGATATCAAGAAGCCTACCGGTTATCTTTACGGCCATTTCTGGATTCAATCGTCTGATCTGGTTGAAGAGCAATTTTTTCACTTCATGTTTCTTCTCCTGATTTCTCCTTGGCTCTTCTTCCTCCAAGTTACTGGAAGCACTGACAGCACTGTAGTAATGGTCAGCTGCGTGCTCACTAAACAGGCCAGACTGACCCCCTTGAGCTGCAAGGGAAGCAGCTCCGTGAAGAGTGTTTTCACTCTGTTGGGGAGAACCTAAAAGAAAAATTGTAAATTGAGACAAAATTCTTCTCATTTCTATACTATTTTGCACACAAAGAATTTCCATTAGATAAAAGACCTGCCATAATTTCCATAAAAATAAAAAAATAAATTGTCACCGCGGGCATCAAATTAGCAGCAAAATCATATTTCGTATTTTGCACATTATTTCATCAAAATTTACCTTTCCTCTTTTAATGACTTATTACACTGTTTTCTGTTATTGATTTTTTTCATGCATTGAACAATCTTCTTTATAATTCAAATGCGAAAAGCATAAAAAAATCCGTAAACGTTGGAAGTCAAATTTGAAACTTGAAAGTAGAGTTAAGTAAAAGTCATAATTTCATTTGCATTGAAAAGTGAGGAAAATAATGGAAAACCGAAAAATGGAAAATCACAGTCACTACGACCGAGTGGACGGCCCTCGGTAGGTCGGTCGGCTGAAAAGGACCTGAGATTGGCACTAGCTTTTACAACCCTGGCGCGCACAACATCCCCCTGAGAAAAGCTCTGCGCGTCGGTTCTCACCAGCCGAGGGGAAGAATTCCAAGAAGATGGACCACCAGAATGGCCGGAGTTGCCAAAACTCACCAGACTCTCTATTAATTGCTCGAAAAGAATTTAGAATTTTTAAGCCGTTTCAGTTTGAGAATTTAAAATTAATTGTTGACGGGAATTTATGAGAATGGGTATATAGAATTGAATTTGGAATTTGCATGAATAAATTAAATTGGTTTAAGCGCTTGAATTTAAATGCTGGGAAAAGTAAAAGAAAATCGAGAAGGTGCAAAATGAGAAATAAATTAAAGAAAAAATTAAACGGAAGTAATTTTCAGTTAGCAAATTGAGATTTGAATTTAGAGAAAAAGGGGAAGCGGAATTAAAAAAGAATTAAAAAGGAGAAAAATTAAATGCCACGCCAGTAAATAAATTCACTTGCTAGCTCTCGCTGGCCGCCTCTTAGCCAGCCCTGTGTGTGTCTCTCCTCTTTCGCCTGCACGGCGCACGCAGAGAGAGAGAGGCACTCTTTCTCTTGCTCGGCGGCTAAATAATAATTGAGTGGCCGCCGCGCAACAATTTCTTTGGTAATTGGTCTATTAGAAATTAGAAGAATAAAATAGAATTTATGGAGTGCATGCATAGGAAAATAATTAAATCTTATTTGCAGAGGCGCAAAAGTGCAAAGTCTCAAATAAAAAAGGCGATGTTTTTCTTTATGGATTTGGAATTAGTTTTTTTTTCAGTTTGAGTTGGCGTTATTTGATTCAAAATTTTAAGCTGAACCTTTGGCCAAGGAATTTAAGTGAAAATCGGTTCTCGGATAATTCAATTTAGAATTAATTTTGAATCTTCCGAGAGTGCCGAGCTTGCAACCGCGCGCAGTCTTGCTGTTTTTATTTTTCATCCCTCTCAGCGCGCTGCGTAGAGGCTTAAAACACCCACCACCCAAACCAATACAGCCGCTCGCTTTTGACCGGCCGCCCCAATCAGAAGGTACCCCGCGAAAGTAAAGTAAAGAAATAACACAAAGGTGTTGGCCAAAGGGAGGTGCTCGATTTTGGAATAAATAGCGCCGTTTTCCCTGCAAAAGGGGCATTCTAGAGGAATCGCCAAACGATGCAAAAGGTCTAGAGTTCTCTTCGGAGTTCAGGGCCGCACGTTAAAATACGATCGGATTGCTGGAGCTCCGGTCAAGAATGCGCAAAGGGCCTTCGTTCTCTTCGGAGTTCACAGCCGCGCATTAAACTCATGTAGTCGGCCGAGAGCCCTACTGAGGTTTGAGACTTGCACATAGCGCCAGGTGTCCGAGACACTTGCTTAGATTATCTCCTGCCAAGTTCGGCCGAAATGCGACCAAGGGACGGAGCGAACAGCCCCAAAAGGCCCTAAGAGGCAAAATTATGCGTTGCAACAGCAGCCGTTTCGAGCCGCGGAGCCAGCCAGTGAGCCATTACACTCCCGCCGCTCGCAGAGAAACGAAGGAGAAAAGACTTTTTTTTTAGTGCTCACCGAGAAATCACGCGTGCGATAAAGAAATTCATGTATAAATAGTTAGGGCAAGGAAAATAAACAGCAGTTTACTTGAGATATAAAATTGACGGATTTTATAAAACAAAATTAAAGCCCTTTTAAACCAAAGTTGAAATTTGAGAAAGGTAGTATTTGAGTTTTGAGAAAAGTAGGAGTTAAAATTCTGAAAAAAGAGAGGTAAACAATTTGAGAAAAGAAGAAATTTTGAATTTGGGAAAAATAAGCAAAAATAATGAGAGTTGATAATTGGGAAAAAAATTATGTCCAGACGACCGAGTGACCGGCGCTCGGTAGAGCAGCGGAATTAGCCGCTGGCCATTGAGAGGCCGACAGACGGGAGAGAGAACAGCGGCAGGACGACGGCGTCCTGCAGGTGGCAAGAACCGGGCACCACTGTGCTGCCCACTCCAACACGCTCCCCGCCTCCGTTCACCACTCGCGGAGGCGCCAACCTCGTTCGGGGCCACCTTCGAGTCGGGCCGGGGTCGAACAAAATAGGAAATGGTGCAAATTGCAGAAAAAGCACTTACTTGTTAGGTGCCGTTGACGCGGCTTCGGGACTGGGGGAATCTCCTCAGGCATTTCCTCATGGCCCTCAGTTCTTGATGACAAAGAAAGATTTTGGCGAGAGAAAGTGAAACCCTCAAAAGATGTTGCACCTAAATGTATAAGATATATTTATGTGTGCGTAAAAATTTCTGCTATACCTTGTTTTGGGGTTGAGGTCAGCTTCTTTTTGTTGCTTCTGTTCTGGAATCGCTCCGACCAATTTAATTTGTGTGCACCCAAACCAGCGCTTTCAGTTGAGGAGTTGCTTCTAGAAGCTTGTTCACTTAACAGGCCAGACTTGAGCTGCAAGGAAAGCTGCTCCGTGAAGATGAAAATGAGTGTTTTCACTCTGTCGGGGGAAAGAAAAATTTTAAATTGAGACAAAATTCTTCTCATTTTTATACTATTTTGCACACAAAGAATTTCCTAATGTTTGTTCTTGCTGAACTTGCAGGCGTGAAGATGGAGGGATGGTGACAGCCATGGGCCTGGCAACCTCTGTATCTCACCACAATACAAAATGAAAAAATATTAACAAGATTTAATTTTATAAAACCTTCAAGCAAGCTGGGGAAATCATAGTGGTGAGACGTCACAGTTTCATGCATCTCCATTGGAGGCTTATTCCTTCGGCAAGCGCCTGAACTCCTCTCCTCTAATGTTTGTTCTTGATGAACTTGCTGGCGTGAAGATGGAGGGATGGGTCCCTTCAGGAGAATCAATTTGATAAAATTCGATCCAAAGTTTGAAAAAATGAGAAAAAATTAGATCCAATATATGGCTAAAAATGCGATTCATGATGTTTCCGATTAAGTTATTTTGAAATTTTTTTTGGTCTCCAAAAGTTGTGGAAGTAATGGTTTGTGATGATGTCAGTCAACCAGGAGTCAGCAGCTCAAGAGCGATCGCATCAGCTGATGAGATATTATGTTTGCAGTGGTTAAATTTTAGCGTTTACATGAAGAAGTATTTTATGAACTTATATAAATTATGCTTGAATAATCACGACATGAGGTATGCCGCCGCAAGTTTCAAATAACGTATCAAACTTTTTAATTTTTATCAAATTTTTTCGAATTTTATCTAATTTCAACAATTTTTGTCGAATAAAATCAAAATTTTCAAATTGTATCAAATTCCCAACAACCAAACCTATTCTCCTTTATCCCCGGCCCAGTGGGACCGCCCAGCTCACCGGTGTTATCGGCCCCGATAGGGGAGAATCCGAGTAATCGGCCCTTGCAATTTACCCAATTTACTCTTAGTACACCTGCGTCTGCTACCGCTGGTGCCTTTCCCAATTCAAATCAAAAAATTAAAATTATATTATTTAACTATTTCTGGTTATATTCTAGTTATGATAAATTTTTTTATGAAAACTACATTTTTGTATAAATAATGGCGCGTGGCAGAAGAATTATGAGATTAAAGAAAATCAAAGTCAAGACCAAAATAAGGTTGAGAAAACTATCAATTCTTTCAAATTTATCTAATTTTTCAAATTTTTTAAACGATATCAAACTTTTTCTAATTTTATCCAATTTGTTTTTCAAACTTTATTAAATTCACATTTCATCACATTTTTATTGCACTCTTTCAAATTTTTTCAAAGTTTCATTCATATTGGAATCGGTGCAGGGTGCAGAAAAAATGATCACTTACTCTCTGGATGGTGTCGACGAGGCTGAGGGACTGGCTGGGATTGAGAGGTCACCACCTCAGAGGCCACAGGTCTGCACAACGAGACAGAGTCTGAACCTGACTCTCCAAGCAAACGAAGATGATCATCAAAACCATGCTTGGCTACAGGAGCGCTTGAGGGCACCTCGTCTGGAATAATTTTCATGGCGGTGGAAGATAAGGGGTTCCATGATGGTTCAAATTCAAGGAAATCAAAGGGTTCGTCGAACGACCGCAAATACCCTCCAAAACGGTGTGCACCTAAAGGAAGAATTTATTTATTCATGCGAATACAATAAAAATGTGTTTTACCTCAAATGGTAGAGGTCGTGGGTCCGGAGGCATGATCTTGGCGACAGTTTCCAGAAATGTCTTCTTCTTAGGAGTTTCCTCTAGCTTCCATGTAACAATCATACTCCGACTGGGCCATACCAAGCTCTGCTCTTTTCTCGCGGTCAGCTTTGAAAGCTGACGAGTAGATCTGTCTGTTAAGCACTTCAGCGCCTGTTTTGCATAAGAACATAATAAATTATATTATGTATCAGTTGTATATTCATGGCTGTATAAAAATTTCTGATATACCCCTCGCTGTGGCAGTCTGATTTTTATTTGGGGTAGCACTTGGGAGGCTGTGGTGCGTTACTGCTGGCTGAAGTGGCTCCAGGAACCATTCCCTCTCCAAGCGTAGACTTCCACCTTGACCCTGAAGCTGGTGTGTTGGTCCTTCAAAACATGTAATTTAAAAAATGGAAGAAAATACATTCTAACAGCAATCAACCATTAAAATTGAAATTACTTAAATTAAAGCAAATCTGCAATAAACTTATAGATAATTAAAATGAAAATAAGCAGAAAATAATATAATACAAAATAGACGAGAGGGTCAGGTTGCAGAAAAAAGAAACACTTACCATCGCATTGACGACGACGGGGCTTTGGTACTGGCTTGTCTTTTTGCTCGCGTTGATGTGACGTCGGTACCGGGGTACTGGAATGGGAGCGCATAATAGCAGCTGAAATGTTAGCAGTCTCTGGTCTGGAAGGAGCTTCAAGTTGGAATGCATCCGGCACGGGCCCCAGCAGCCACTCCTTTTGAAGGCGATGTGCAGTTTCGCGCTCTTCCATCGAACTTGGTCCTTTAAAAAAATTTAATTTTAAAAGTTGAAGAATACAAACTTGTTCACACAGCAATCAACCATTTGAAATTGAAAAAATGAAGAAGAAAAACTGCATCAAATGAAATGAAAACAAACTTGCATTCAACTTAGATATAAAATGCAAATAGGCAAAAAATAATGCAAAACAAAATAGGAAATGGTGCAGGTTGCAGAAAAAGAAGCACTTACTATTGAAAGAGGAGTCATGAGGCTGCAACTTTCTGGGCCGGGCAACAGGTGCATTTGAGGTGCCTTTCTCTGGAACGGGTCCCAGTAGCCACTCCCTTTCAAGACGATGTGCAGTTTCATGTGCTTCCATGCAACTCGGTCTTTCTAAAAAATTTAATTTTAAAAGTTAAAGAATACAAACTTGTTCACACAGCAATCAACCATTTAAAATTGAAAAAATGAAGAAAAATGCATCAAACGAAATTAAAACAAACTTGCATTCAACTTAGATATGCAAAACAAAATAGGAAACGGTGCAGGTTGCAGCAAAAAAAGAATCACCTACTATTGAAATGGTCAGGCTGGCATTTTCGAGGCAGGGCTACAGGTGCGCTTGAGGAGCCTTTGTCTGGAATGGGTCCCAGCAGCCACTCGCTTTCAAGATGACTTGCAGCTTCATGTGCTTCCATGCAACTCGGTCCTTCTAAAAAATTTAATTTTAAAAGTTGAAGAATACAAATTTGTTCACACAGCAATGAACCATTTCAAATAGAAAAAATGAAAAAAACTGCATCAAATAAAATAAAAACAAACTTGCTTTTAACTTAGATATGATATGATATGCAAATAGGCAAAAAATAATGTAAAACAAATTAGGAAACGGTGCAGGTTGCAGCAAAAAAAAAATCACTTTCCAGGAAACATTAAGTATTTGTGGAGTATTTGCTGAATATTCCTGTATATTTGGAAATATTTGGCTACAAATATTCCCAAATATTAGGAAGTAACATTTTTAATAATATTTTTTGACCAAGCCCGGTGGCTCAGTGGTTAGAATGCTTGCATTCTGATCAGTGGGTTTGCTCGGCCGTCATGGGATCAATGCTCAGCCTGAGGCTCTTTGTGGAAACAAATTGTCTCTGGTATGCGAATCATTGATAACATTTCGCCTGACACGTCGGGAATTTGGGAGGTATGGCGCAAGCTGTACCGACTCGCACTCGGAGGTTTGCCACGTTTCCTCCGAGCCACAAGCTGGAAGAACTCAGCTGGTGTGCCGAATGCCTGCGTTTCATTCTGTCCTTCGTGGCAAGGCCGGGGTCAGGGGGCAGGTCTGGGGGGTGGTAAGGGCTTCCTATGCAGAGTGTCTACTCTTCATAAAAAGCTCCCGCCAAGGAGTGAAGGGTAGGGGGAGTAACCAAACAACTCCTGCACCGTGGCATAGACCAACCCCAAAGTTGAAAAACTAAGTGGGTGCCATTAGAAAAAAAGGAAGTAACATTTTTTAAATCTTCCTGAATATTATTATATTTATGTTTGTGGCATGCTTGTTGAATATTTGGCAAGCACAATATGATTTTTAGATCGCAGTCAATGTTTGCTTTCAAATATTTGTGAATATTTTGAATATTTCTTTTATTTCTGGAATATTTGTGAATATTTAAAGAATATTCATGGAATATTATATTTAAAACACAGTGTTCTGCAATACATGCATCTTTATTTCCATAAAATCAGACAAAAACTAAATTTTGAACATAAAAAATACAACGAAAATTTACATGTAAAATAGAATTTAAGCTGATTATAATGAAACGCGCATTTTCACAATTAAACCATCACCAGGTTGAAAATGAAGCCAGAGACAAAAATATGGTGACCATTGTCATCCTAGTGATAAGAACTTTCCAACCATGTATCACACATTAGGGTCTTTTCACTGAAGGTCAAGGGTCAAGGTGACCTTTGACTCAAGTTTTCAAAAGGTCAATGACCTTTACATATTTAGATAGAAATTTTAATGGGGATCAATTTTGATCATTATCATTTTTTGCCTCAGACGCACAGAAAATGAGTAATTCACGTTTTTCTATAAATTCGCCGATCCGAGCACGTTTTTTAATCTTTTAATTATAATATAAATTTAAAGAGAAAAAACAAATTCGACCTATGATTTTGTGATCAACAGAAAAGTTGTAGAGTTAACGAGACGAGTTCAACCATACCCGGATTTTTGTTCTCCGACCAACAGAAGCCGAGATAATTGAAGTTTTAGGTTTTTTCAAAATGTCCCGTAAAATCCACCATTTTGAAAATAATTTGATAAAAATTTAGGGATGTTCCCTTCAAGTAATGGAGATTAAGTTGTGAATCTCTCAGATCTCTATCATCAACTTTGGGCGCGGTGTGTGAGAATGCTAAGAACTGGTGTGTACATTTTTGCGATTAAAATAGTATTAAATACAATAATGACACTACATATAATTATGTTGTGTTGCAATTAAAAAAAGGACGAGTTGGGAACGATTGTGTGAGAATATGGCAATTCTTAAGTATATAATAAAGACACAGAGAAAAATTAAATTTCTTGATTATTGTACTTATTGCATACTGGATGATTGGATTTAGGATTTGAAATAGTCGAGAAATTGTGACGAAAATAAAATAGCAATACCAAGCAGAAAAGTAAGATATATTATTTTAAAAGTACTGCTAAGGCTGTATAATATGTAAATTATATGTATGTATAAATTTTTGCGGGCCGGAAATTGCATTATTATGGTAAAATAGAATTATTTAAATCTATCTTATAACTTTTTATATTTTATAATAAAGCAATTTTTTAACTTGAAAAAAGAAAAATTCACCTCCCCTCTAATTATGAGCCATAAAAAGATCCGCGCTTAACGGAGTGCGAGAGACTTGATTTAATTCAAAGGCAATGAACCTTTGTAAAAAAAAATTACAATTTGCACATACACTACTGGCTAGGACAGCTGTTTCGACCAATCCAGGTCTCATCAGCTAGCCTGAGTGTTTCCCGAGCAAGCTCGAGAGCAACTGACTGCTTAGCGGCAGCAGCGGGGTTTTTATACCCGTTACGGCCGCCCAGCATTCGCGCCATGGCACTCATTGGCTGTTACTCGTCACGTGATCTTATCTCTCATCCCAGAGACTAAAGAAGCCTCTATGCACATTTCAAGTCTCTCGCACTCCCTTAAGCGCGGATCTTTTTATGGCAATTTTTTTACTTGTTTTTTTCCTGACTTCTACAGTACATAAATGCAGAAGTAGAGTATCCTAATTTTTTAATATCAATTTCTGTAAGTTTGTATGAGCTTTATAATTTTAATATAATAAAATTTTTAAATTACTTATAAAAGCCATAAAAATTTCACCAAGACACACAAAAAAATAATTCATATTTAAAGATTTCAAAATGAGTATGATTTTAATAATTTTGGAAATGATAAATAAATGCTCATTTTTTCATTATTAGACCCGTTCTTAGCATTCTCACACACCGTGCCCAAAGTTGATGATAGAGATCTGAGAGTTTCACAACTTAATCTCCATTACTTGAAGGGAACATCCCTAAATTTTTATCAAAATATTTTCAAAATGGCGGATTTTACGGGACATTTTGAAAAAATCAAAAACTTCAATTATCTCGGCTTCTGTTGGTTGGAAAACAAAAATCCGGGTATGGTTGAACTCGTCTCATTAAACTCTACAACTTTGCTGTTGATCATAAAATCATAGGTCAAAGGTCAAGGTCACTTCCGATGACCTTGTGTCATTCAAACTGGAATTTGAGCATCAAATGCAAACATTTTTGAAATTCTGAGATAGCCATTCGATTTTTCGTGAAATTTTACATAAAATATGTGAAAATGACGAAGTGGTTTTTTCTCTTTAAATTTATATTAAAATAAAAATATTAAAAAACGTGGTTTTTTGGTGCTCAGATCAGCGATTTCTAAGAAAAACGTAAATAACTCGTTTTCTGTGCGTCTGAGGCAAAAAATGATAAAGATCAAAATTGATCCCCATTATAAGTTCTATCTAAATATATAAAGGTCATTGACCTTTTGAAAACTTGGGTCAAAGGTCACCTTGACCCTTGACCTTTAGTGAAAATACCCTAATGTGTGATACATGGTTGGAAAGGTCTTGTCACTAGGATAACAATGGTCACCATATTTTTGTCTCTGGCTATATTTTCCACTAATTTAAGCTGATTATTTAATTTATAATGAAAGAAAATGCACTTTTTTCATAATTAAACCATCATAACTAGGCCGAAAATGAAGACAGAGACAAAAATATGGTGACCATTGTGATCCTAGTGACAAGACCTTTCCAACCATGTATCACACATTAGGGTATTTTCACTAAAGGTCAAGGGTCAAGGTGACCATTGACCTAAGTTTTCAAAAGGTCAATGACCTTTACATATTTAGATAGAAATTTTAATGGGGATCAATTTTGGTCGTTATCATTTTTGCCTCAGACGCACAGAAAACGAGTTATTTACGTTTTTCTTAAAAATCGCTGATCCGAGCACCAAAAAACCACGTTTTTTAATATTTTTATTTTAATATAAATTTAAAGAGAAAAAACCACTTCGTCATTTTCACATATTTTATGTAAAATTTCACGAAAAATCGAATGGCTATCTCAGAATTTCAAAAATGTTTGCATTTGATGCTCAAATTCCAGTTTGAATGACACAAGGTCATTGGAAGTGACCTTGACCTTTGACCTATGATTTTGTGATCAGCAGCAAAGTTGTAGAGTTTAATGAGACGAGTTCAACCATACCCGGATTTTTGTTCTCCAACCAACAGAAGCCGAGATAATTGAAGTTTTTGATTTTTTCAAAATGTCCCGTAAAATCCGCCATTTTGAAAATATTTTG